TTTGTTTTTGCTGTTTTGCTGTTTTCCACTGCCATGAGCTGCTGCCCTCTACCATGTGCCAGTCTGCCTTGGAGCCAGCTGAGAATAGGCTGCAACCTCCACAAACTGTGAGTTAAATAAACCATTCCTTCCTTAATCTTGGATGTCAGGTATTTTGTCCCAGCAATAAGAGAGGAGTAACCAAAATAAACGGTCTACAGACAGCTGTGCAAGTGATAGAACTCACTCTCAGGAACCATAGTCCTTTGATGTGTTGTCCAGTGCCTGAAAATACTGTATTTTATTTGCTTTTTAGTTGTTTCTGGTAGGAAAGTAATTTCATATCCTCATGGCTGGTAGCGAAGACTTTTTAATCATTTAAGTGTTGAATCAATTGTTTTGGACCTCTTACATTGAAATCTTTGGATTTGATATTGTTGCCTTTCCTCTTTTTTTTGAGTTTTCCTTCTCCCTGGCTTCCAATACGGCCTTTTCCTGATAGACCTATTTGTGACTCTTCTTTACTGGATGCTTCTTCTTTGGTCTTTTAAACATATGGATTGCATTGAGAATTATTACAATAAAGGCTACTGTGGTACTTAGCAGTTTAGTAAGACCCTGTCTCAAAATTAAAACAGAAGGGGGTAGGGCGGAGACCCTGTCCGTGTTCAGCCCCCATCACCTCCTCCAGTGTCACCTCATTAGACTATACACTGAGTTTAGTTTTACCCCTCACAAAGTCCAGGGTCTTGCCCATGCTAAACTGATACCCCACCACAGAGCTACACCCCAGCATTCATGTTTTCATTCATAGAACAGTTACTCAGTTACTCTTTTCTTCCTCTTCTCATTCTGCATGCTCTTTTAAGTTATGAGTCCCCCCATCCTGATAACTTTTATATTTTTAGCCTTGTTTTCTGTATTTAGTTTACAATCTGTATCAAACAATCTGAGCATTTCCACTTGGATTTTTAAAAAAGGTTTATATCCTAGTAGGAACTTATCTCTTCCTGTTTCCCTGCTCTTCATCCTGACTTTAATTTATATTAAAACGCACACACACACACACACGAAACCAAACCAAACTGTATTTTACATAAGCAGATACATAATCTGCATGTTAATTTAACCTTCCAAATTATTTCTTGGCTTTTGCTTCTCTATTCCTATCATTTTGTCCTGTTCATCTTCTGTCTGTACTGTTATACCAATCCAGCTGCCTAACTGATCTGTACTTCTAGTTGTGTCCTTTTAAACTCTGTATTCCTTCCTCAAGTTCAAAGGAGAATGTACTTCCTGGCTTAAAAGTCTGAATAGTTTCCTGAAAGCTGCTGGATAACATCTGGGCCTTTGTTGGGGCTTGTGTCTCCTTAGATCTTTTTTCCCCTGACTGTACTATGCTGTTTCCTCCTCTCCAGTTTTACCTGGCTAACTCCTATTTATTTTTTCAAAAGTCTGTTCACTTGTTTACAGGTTTCTTCCTTTTGGCACCCATAATATCCTAGCAAATGGCAGGTTTTCTTTTTCTTCTAGATATTTATGAGTTTAATTCATTTTTCTTACCCCAGTATATTGTTTAGGACTTCATGTACAGGGTTAGATAGAAAAAGTGATACTGACATTTTGAGTATCACTCTTGGCTTAAAGTGCTTATATGTCTTAACTGTGATGCTTAAGTATTTATTTTAAAAGTCAAAGTAGAGAAGTATCACCTACTTGACAGAAGTTCTATCCAGATTCTATATTATATTTTATCAAATGCTTTCTTTGTATCTGTGGAGTAGGTAAGTTCCTGAATACAGTCTTTCTTAAAAACTTTTATGGATTTATTTAATGTATTGCTGGATTTGATTTGTTATATTTTATTTAGCATATTTTTCAGTTGTATTTACAAGTGAAACACCTACAGTACTCATTCTTTTAGTTATTTACTGCATTTGTTCTTACCTTATGGCCTGGTGAAGCCTTTCAGTTTTTAGTTGAAATAACTGCTTAAATTTGAGCTGTGTAGCTATTAGGAAGCAGTTGTTTCTGAAAGACTGAATAGAATTTGTGTACATTTAAAAAAATGGCTACATCTTTGCGTTTTGTTTTCTTGTAGTTCTAGTCAAGATTCAGAAATAAAGTGAGACTTCTTTGATATTTATTGAGTAAACAATCTCTAGATAAAGCTTTGAAAAAGGAATTATTGTACAGAATTGTTTATTTTAACAGAATTTATTTTTGTCAGAAACCATTATTATGCCTACTTTACCAGTATGTGAAAAGAGTCCATAAGAGAAATAAATGGCTATTGGTCTCTATGGATAAATTTTCTTCATGGAAATATGCTGTTTGGTGTGATAGTCTTAAATTTGAAACTAACTTTATTTTTAAGAAAAACAGCAATTTGCATTATTAATCAGTGTTTGTATAATCATGTGCAAAAATATCAGTGGTAAACATTTTACCATCATGTATGTGCTTTGGATTTTACTGTTTTTCTCTTTTAAAGTTTATTCTGTGATGTAGAATCTTTGAAATGTATTTTAGTCAGGTGTGGTGGCACGTACCTGTAATCCCAGCATACTGGAGGCTCAGGGAGGGGATTGCTCTGAGGTTAAGGTCAGCCTGGGTTATATAGTGAGTTCAAGGCAGCCTGAACTACACAGCAAGACCCTGTCTCAAAAAAAAAGCAAAAAAAAAAAAAAAAAAAAAAAGTATTTTACACACCAATGCTATTTTTGAGGTTAAGGTACTTTAATTTCAAAAATAC